CTGGCATAACAAGATGCTTCAGCCCTGTCATCAGCCACTTGTAAGCATCTGTGGATCTCCTAAGTGGAGAGAGACATTGGATATTTGGAAGCCAAGATTTAAGTGCTGGTATGCTTGTTGCTAATGAGGTATTATTGCTGCTCCCAGAACTTTTTAGTGGATAGAGCTGGGGTTGTGTATATGTATACACATATACATATAGCTATATACATATATTTATACACATAATTATTTCTATATTTATATATTCTGAAAGCAGAGTTAACATTAACCTCCAGCTCCAGTCCAACACCACAGGCTTCATTCTAGTTTCCTTCCTTTCCATATTTGTAACTCTCTTGTCGCCCCGTGAGAACATGGCTGCCATTATCTTTAACGTGTTTGCATATTTATACCTTTTTTTTTTTTTTTTTAGCTGAGCCATCCTGCTACATGTTGGCAGCTCAGTGGCTGCTCAACTCTGGCCAGGACTCAAACCACTGCTCAGAGCTCACAATCTTGAGCGAGCTCTTAACCAACTGAGCCACTCAGCCGGCCCACATGTTTGCATATTAAATCCTCTCTAAATAGAATAAATCTGCAGTTGCTGCTTCCAGTGCCCTTCCTCCACATGGTTGAACTCTTTACTCTCCACCTACTTTATCCTGTTTAGACTTTGGCATTGTGCTGCAAGCTTCCTCAGTCGATGCCCTCTGTACTGATGGCCTCCTCACCTCATGGATTCCTACACAGTTGCACAGGTCTGCTGCCCCCCAACCTGACTCTGCATGGGTGTCTAACTTGCTGGGCTTTTAGGAAGCAGGAAGAATACAGGGTTGCAATTTTCAAGAGTGGTCAGAAAACATCTGTTTAAGAAGATTATATTTGAGGAAGGTCTGAAGTTGGTGAGGGAGTGGGTCATGTAGATATTTGGAGAAGAGTATTCCAGAGGGAGTAACATGTGCAAAGTCCCTGAGCACAAAGGTGCCCTGTGAGTTAAAAGCAGGAAGACCACCATCATGGGAGCACAGTGAGCAAGGGAGAGAGTAGTCGATGAGGTCAGAGAGGTGTCAGTGGGCCAGGCTCTGTAAGGCCCTGTAGACCTTATACACTCTTGGCTTTTCTCTAACTCAGCGAGGGCTCTATAGGAGGGTTTTGAGCAGTGAAGTGATGTCATTTTTTTTTTTTTTAAGATTTTATTGGCGAATTGGGGGAGGCAACAGCATTGGAGAATCGGGGAAGGGGAACAGACAAGTTGCTGTCCTTTTGTTCTTCAGTCTAGTTGTGAAGGACATTGCTTCACTGGCCCATGTTGGTATTGTGATCATTGCACTCTTCCTGGCAAAGGCAGATGGGTCGCCCGCTAGTCGCCGGCGACTCACAGCAGCCCAGCTCCAGGTCGAGCTGTTGTTCACCATCTTAGCTGTAGAGAGCGCAGTGTCACTGGCCCATCTGGGATCTGAACCATCTGCCCTGCTGCTCAGAGCTTGCGCTCCCAAGCCAACTCTTGACCAACGAGCCACTAGGCCAGCCCCATGTCATTTGACTTTTGTTTTAAAAGGATCATCCTAATTCCTGTGTTGAGAATAGACTGTGTGTATGTGTGAGGTGGTGAGGGGTGGATTGAGAGGGAAGTTGAAATTAAGAACAGTTAAAATTTTATTGGGATAACCAGAAGAGAAATTGGACTAAGTGTGGTAGCTGTGGAAGTGGTGAGAAGTGATCAAATTCTGGATGTTTTGAAGGTAGAGATGATGGGATTTGCTGATGGTTTAAATATGTAGTGTAAAAATTTAAAAAGTAGAGAAGGGCCGGCCGAGTGGCGCATTGGTTAAGAGCTGGCTTAAGACTCCAGAGGGCCCCGGTTCAGATCCCACATAGGAGGGCCAGTGACACTGCCCTCCACAGCTAAGATGCTGAACAACAGCTCAACCTGGAGCTGGGCTGCATGAGTCGCTGATGACGGCGTAGGCTGCAGCCGCTGCCGCAGTGGGTTGCCATGGGCTACCGTGTGTAGCCAGTAACCAGCGTGAGCAGCCAGCAGCCGTCGTGAGTGGCCCTCCAGAAGCCGGCGACTGATCTGCCTTGCCAGGGAAGAGCGCAATGATGGTACCAACTTGGGCCAGTGAAGCAACGTCCTCCACAACCAGACTGAAGAACAAAAGGACAGCAACTTGTCTGTTCCCCTTCCCCCAATTCCCCAGCACTGTTCCCATCCCCCCAATTCCCATTAAAAATCTTAAAAAAAAAAAGTAGATAAATACTTAAAAGTCCTGAAATGTAAGTTTAAGGAGTTTTGAGTCTTTGTTTTGTTTTGTTTTGGTCAGTTTTTTTCACTGTTATATCCTCCATTCATAGAACAATGCCTGGCACATAATAGATATTCAACAACTAGTTGTTGAATTAAAAGAAAAAGAAAAAAAATCTAGCCTTTGTGTTTTTTGTGGAATTCAAATCCTCTCCCTTAATGGTGGGTGTAGAAATTACCACTGAAAAATGTTGGGGAAAACTTGTATTTAGTCAGCTGATAAAATGTGAGGTGAGTACCATAAAAGTCCCTTTTAAGGCTTTTTTTTTTTTTTTTTTTTTTACCAAAAATACCTTCTAGAAACTAAAGGACTACTGAAGGGTCCTGATTGTATTTAGTAGTTCCGCACTCCAGGCACCTACCTGCACTCCCATGCTATGACATGATGGACTTTTGTACACCTGGGGTGAGAGGCAATAAATACATCTGCTACCCAAAATGAAGAAGCACCAAAGTTTGAGCAGAATTTACTTTAAAGAATAAAATAAGAGCAGATGTGGTGATTATTCCTATCATAACACACTTCCTGCCCCCTTTTTTTGAATTAGAAAGCAGCAGATTTGCTGCAAGCATGCTAGAAAATGTACACAATGTGCAGCCTATCTAATCTACCCCACATCCCTAGTGTAATTGGGTACTGACTTTCTAGAAGGATATCGACAATATATGTGTTGGAGATTTGGAATACATTTGTGGCAGCTGACACCAGGAATCCCACTCTCTCTCCCTCAGTGTTGCTTGCGTATGTACGTGGTTTGACTTACTTCACCAGGCTGCTTTCACAAAAGGTCACACGTCGTTTAAAAATTCACATAATTCATGTAAATTTCTCAAGACTCTGCATGCTCAAAGCCGTAGGCCATCTGGTAACTCACTTTTAAAATCTCCCTCAAGTAAATGGTTACAAAATTCAGTGGGCTTCATGTGCCAAAAGGGATTGTCTTCCCTGGGGATTCTCCAGGCGGAGAACCAACAAGAGAACATGAGTAACCCTTGGTCTGTCTCGCCATTGTAACATTTATCCCACCCACACTAATATAATACTACCCATGTCCTTCGCTAGAGTGATGCTACTGTCATCGCTATGATGACCTGCTCGGGCCATGGTAGTTCTTTGAGAAGATGTACTCACTCTTCCAGTCAGGTGCGAGTGGCCCCCAGTGTAGCACCCACAGATGCAGCTTTTATTGTTATGAAATGTTACACATGCTTATGGGATACTACAAAAAAGAACTACCAACTAACGTTTCACGCCATTTATTTTCTTTCTTTCTCTATTATTGTGATCTTAGTGTAATTCTTTTTTTTGATGTTTCGTGATTGCATTTAATATTATATTACTTCATAACATATGAACAACTCCATAGTTTTGGAGGTTTTTTTATAGCATCATTTTGAATAGTCACAAAATATATTATTATAAGAGTTACAAGAATGTATTGAAGTAATTCCTGGTTATTGGAGATTTAGGTTGTTTTTTTGTCGCTTCTTCCTTTCGAAGTGGTCCTATGCCAAGATTTCAATGGAGCAGCTGAGGGCGTGAAAGAGTTGGACCCTTGAAATGAACCACTGATGGCATCAGACTTGGGCAAATATATCAAGGTACAAAAAAATCTGTTGCATGCTTAGACATTATCATTAGCCCCATTAAAGCCCTGACTTTAAAACTAGGTTCTGACTCAGTCCTAGATCTGGGGGAAGTCACAGAACTGTGGCATCAATTATATGTCCTTTTTTTAGGTTGTGTTTATATGATGCCTATACAACCCATTGAGTAATAATTCAAATCAGTAAAAAATAATGATTCAAATCCTGCCATGCCACTAATGGCTGCTAGAGGGCAGCAGAAGCCAGGGACTGGCAGGAAAAATAATAGCTTAAATAGGAGGAAGAGGCTCTGCCCAGGCCTGGGGAACCCTCTGTTAGGGGTTGAGACAGAAAACTGGGTTCAAGGAGTCTGCAATAAAGGTATCTTTAGTAACTCGAGAGGCCAACAAAATAAAGGAATAACAAGAATGCTAAAAAGGTTAGGTGCTTAACAGGCACTTACCTTAAATCTTTTGGAGGATTGAAACAAATGAAGACTAGGAAAAAGTACCAAATTTAAGCCAAAAGCTGTGGGTGACCAGGTTATCGGTTTGAAGGCGAGGGTAGAGACGACACGGTGGGAAAGTTCGAAGTATCAGGGAAGCAAGATGTCTGTACCTGACCCAGGGATGGCAGAGGATCATGACCCTCCATGTGAAGAAGCCCCCAAGTGGAGGCAGCAAGTGAGCAAACGTTAAGGCGTAATAAGAACCTGGGCTGTTTAAAACCTATAGGAAGAGGTAACGTTTTTAGGAAGAGGTAACATTTTAGTAAAACAGTTTCTAACTTCTGGTATTAGAAAGAAACTTGGGCAAGAATCCTGAGAGCTGGCTTTAGTGTAGCCATCAACTAGTTACTTAATCATAAGCAAGTCACTTAACCTTTCTTGGGATTCTGGTTTCTCATGGAGAAATTTAAAGTGTTCGACTGGGTGAATTCTAAGATACCAAGGACATCTGAAATTCTAGGGCTGGATTAATTGGTGATGAGTTTAATCAAAACCATCACCCAGTTATACTGTGTAGATAGAGATAACAGTCTAGCATTCATCTTTCCTTAGTCTTTAGTTGTCCTAATGTAGCTAGTCAGAGAGTGCTACAATCCCACTCTTTCTTATTTGTACATACAGGCAGAACAGAAGCCAGACTACTTGATGTTTCAACCTGTGTAGTCATGTAAAACGGAGAAGGAGCGAGGTTTCCCAAGATTCACTGATCCTGTTTTAAATAAACTGGTGTGTATCTTTGTGAAATCTTTCAAGAAATTGTAAAGGAATGTACAAAAACTCGTCCCTTAAGTTTAGTTTAAACTCTTTAGCTGTTGACACTTCGAGACATAGTTAGGAAGACTTTAAAGGATCTTTGAGACATTTTGTTTTTTCTAATCAGAGCTTATAATTTTTGAATTCTAAAGTACTGCATAATGATAAAATGTTGTCAAAATGTTTATCATTTCCTTTTCCCTAACTATTACTATATGGTTACAAACACTTTTTTTGTTTTCAAATTTCTTTTAAACTTATTTATAACCCTATTTTAAATTGGGAGTTATTGCTGTTTGAATATTATACCTTCATGGAAAATTTTGGTAAGTAGATAAATTGAAGGAGGCTGTTTATAATTATTAGACTACAAGCATTTTTTTAAAAACCTACTCTCATGAGTAGACAAGGGAGAAAGTAAAATGTAGACATTTAAAAATTCCAAACAACTTTAAAGCTGCTTGGAAATAAAATCTAATTTGCTTTTTTAATCTAATTTTAGATAAAATATCCAAACATATTATTAAAAGTGCATAATTATATTGATTTTTAAAGCAGGACGATATCATAGACCTTGTCTGGTATGAGTGATTCTTGACCTTTTCATGGTCAAGAGCTCTTTTAATTATTTTTTCTCCAGTGATTCAACATTTTGAAATATCTTGTCTGTGTTTCCCACCAAAAGTACTCCTTAAATTATAATTAGATTTTTCATTTTAAATTAATCAGAAACACATGGAACTGCTGATCTCTTTAGCACAAGTTCAGCAATGACACCATCCTGAGATGATGAATTTCATTCAAATTTAAAAAATCCTAGTGTTTAGTACAGACTCACTATAAGCAACTACATCAATTGTACCATAGTTTTGAAATATAGCCCCAGGACTCCTAGGGACCCTAGGGAACTACTTATTTTACTTCCTCTCTGAATTTGCACATAAGTAACTCAGCCAATTGTTTAGACACTCTGATACAAGTACAGGGCTCCATCTACAGTACTGGGTGTTCCCTCCTCATTAGGATTAATCATTACAGTTTATGGTAATGAATGAAGTTAAGTTCATATTTCTCGCACACACAAAAATGAATCTAGAATGTGTTCTTTTTTTTCCCCTTAGATGCCGCTTAAACTGAACAAATCTGACTTTAGGAGGCATCTCAGGCAGCAGATTCAAGGAACTAAATTCTGGATATTTCCTGGAAAATAAGTTCCAAGGTAACGTCCTTTATGTTGCTTTATTTATACTATCCTTCAAGAATAAGAGTTGAGAGATTATTTTGTTGTAGCAGTGGGGTGATATGACTGTCATTTCATTACTTACACTTTATTAGACACTAACTTATTTGCAAAAACAGAAAATCTTTAATTTTTGACACCTAATTTTAATTTTTGAAGCCAAATAGCAACACTGTGCACGTGTGTGAGTGTGTTTGCTGGTTATACAAGCCGCCTTCCCACCCCTGCCCATAAACATGTTACACATGTATAGTTTTCTAGTGGTGAGGAGGAACACTATTTTGAGTACTCCAGTGTAGGTTACCTGCTTCTTCTACTTACAGAACTAGCTCCCTGCATATACAAAGCCAAAACTATCTCTTGCCATTCCCTACCATGAGGCCTGAAAGTTCTGTAGCAACCTTTCGTAAAAAAAATCAAAATATGCAAACACATCATCTTGGAGAGCTAACACAATGATTTATTATCAACATGAGTTATTTTGTTAACTAGGTTAACTAGCAGAGAGTAGGGAAAATCAAATTTTGGAAGATGAAGGAACTTACGATGCTCAAGTGACAAGCAGTGACAGCCAGAGATACTATGAAGGCGCCAGAAATCTGGAGCTGGAATCAAAGAAGAAATGAATTTTGTCTTATTCATAATTTTGTCTAGGTTAGTTCTATATATAGTATTTGTGTTCTGAGGAAAACTAAGCCTTTATTTTTTTTCTTGTTTGTTTTTTTTTAGCTGAGCCATCCTGCCACCTGTTGGCAGCTCAGCGGCTGCTCAGCTCGGGCTGGGACTCGAACCGCTGTTGCTCAGAGCTCAAACTCTTGAGCGAGCTCTTAACCAACTGAGCCACTTGGCCGGCCCCCAAGCCTTTATTTTTTAAATTAAAGTTTATTGGGGTGATGATGGTTAGTAAAGTTACATGAGTTTCAGGTGTACAATTCTGTGACAAATCATCTATATATCACATTGTGTGTTCACTACCCAGAGTCAGTTCTCTTTCCATCACCATATATTTGACCCCATTTACCCTCATCTACCACCCCTCTTCCCCCGTAACCTTGTAACCACTAAACTATTGTCTGTGTCTATGAGTGTTTGTTTCTTCATTCTTGTTTCTTTGTTGTTTTCAGCTTCATATCCCACATACCAGTGAAATCATATGGTTCTCCACTTTTTCTGCCTGACTTACTTTGCTTAGCACAATAATCTCAAGCCTTTAAGACCATGTTTGCAGCACCACGTTTTAGTGCCTGCTTTTCACACTGACCTAGCATTGGGACCCTCGCTGCTAGACCTTGTGTTTAATGATGCTAGAGTAAAAGGAACGTGTAATTTTAAATCTTTAAAGGATAAATGATTTTAAAAATATTTGAGTCTTATACATGAAGAAACTCATTACTTTTGTATTTTTTTTAAATTGGGGAATTGGGGGAGGGGAACAGTGTTGGGGAATTGGGGAGGGGGACCAGCCAAGTTACTGTTCTTCAATCTTAGTTGTAGAGGGCGCCAGTCACCAGCTGGCTGCCCGTTAGCAGCTTGTGGTCTCTAAGCTCAAGGTGCTGTGTTCGATCTTAGTTGTGGGAGGGCGTAGCCCACCATCGAATAGGTCAGCGGTTCTCAACCTTCCTAATGCCGCGACCTCTTAATACAGTTCCTCATGTTGTGGTGACCCCCAACCATAACATTATTTTCGTTGCTACTGTAATTTTGCTACTGTTATGAATCGTAATGTAAATATCTTTTTGTTTTCTGATGGTCTTAGGCGACCCCAGTGAAAGGGTCATTTGACCCACAAAGGGGTTGCGATCCACAGGTTGAGAACCGCTGGAATAGGTAGTTGTGTTGTTAGGAGCACATGCTCTCACCAGCTGAACCATCCTGCCACCTGCTGGCAGCTCAGCAGCAGCACAGCTCAGGCGCAGCGTCACTGGCCCATGTGGAAATCAAAGTGGTGGCCCTGTTGCTCAGAGCTCGCGCTCTTAAGCTAAATCTTAACCAACTGAGTCACTCAGCTGGCCTCATTACTTTTGTATTTTATGTTTGCTTTCAGAGAATATTTAAAGGAGGGCAGCTTTAAAAACAGAGTTAAATAATTTGAATAAAAACATTTAGATCTCTCAATGGCAACTAGAAAAAAGAAAAGAAAAGAAAAAAAAACCCACTTAGGATTCCATGGGCAGACAACAATGCAGGGCTTTCTGGAATCGTATACCTCATACTGGCATAGTTGGTTAGTCACAACATCTGGCCTAAAGACAAGTTTCCTTCTCCTCCTGAGATAATTAATTCACAAGGCAAGGTCTCCCAAGGAACTGAAAATAAACCGAAATTAAAAATGTTTTAGTTTCTCTCTTTACTAATAATAAGTACCGCTTTTTCATCCAAGCCTGGTGACGAGCCAGGCATTTACATGCATCACCTGCAACCTTCCCGTAAGGTGGTGATAACTAACATTGAGAGGTGGAATAGCACAGAGCTTAGGAATACCAATTTTGAGTCACATAGAATCATACCTGTTACCTGTATAGATTCAAATTCCACTCAGTCACTTAGTGGCTGAGTGGCCTCAGGTTCTTCATCTTTAAGATCTAAATAAGTAGCACCTATCTCACAGTGTTGCTATAAGAATCAGCAGTGCATGAGAGCCAGGAGCCCGCCTGGCTCTGTCTGCTAGGGCTGGGTGTTGACACTGGCAACCTTCTCTTGTGGGAGCTTTTCAAGGGGCTAGCATTCTGTGTTACTCACTTTGGAGAACATTGCTTTAGAGCTCTCTCTCTCTCTCTCTCTCTGTCTCTCTCTCTCTGTCTGTCTGTCTCTCTCTCTCTCTCTCTCTCTCTCTCTCTCTCTCTGTCTCTCTCTCTCTGTCTCTCTGTGTTTTTAGTGCACAGCATATTGTTGGTGCTACTGTATTGTGATTATTAGATCACTTAAAAGAAGTGTTGATCTTTTGCATTGATTTAGAATAATTCCTTATTAAATTCTTCTTTGTTAGAGTTCTGAAAAGCCGGGTTTCAGATGTAAGAGAAATCATATTTTGTAGAAAAGTATTGTGCTTTAATATTCTGAAATCTTGTGAATTCCATTTGCTGGCATTTGGGTTAGTGGATAGAAGATTGGACTGGAAACTAGAAAATCTGATTTTTTTTTCTTGGCTCTTTACTTTATTAGAGTGGTGAATCAGTCTTTCTTGATAAACCTGTGAATGTCTTGGATCTAGCTGGCACTGTGTGTTATGTGTTCTTTCTCTATCAGTAAGTAAAAGAAACACATTTCTGCATTTGTCGTCTTACACAAATACAATGAAAAGAGAAGTAAATTTTGCCTGGATGTACAGTGAAAAATAACTTTTTGTTTTACTCATATTCCCAGTTTCCAAAGGCAAAAACTGTTACCTGTTCCTTGTATATTTTTTTAGATATATATTATTTTATATTCTAGAGATATTACATATAATATACATATATGTCACATATACATAGTAATTTATGAGGTATGATCAAACAATATGGTGAATGTTTAAATAAAAAAAATTTATTACGGTAAAAGACACTGCCATTAATCACCCTCAAAATATTTCCCCTTACTTTGAACACAATAATTCCATCGTTCCTGCCACTTTCTGAAGCAGTTCTGGAAGTCCTCTTTTGTGAGTGTCTTTAGTTACACTGTCATGGCTGCCTCGATGTCCTGAATTGTTTTGATTTGGGGAAGGGCCAGAAGTCGCATGATGCCAGATTCGGTGAATAAGGTGGATGAGGACACACCGTAATGTTTTTATTGGACAGAATTGCCATACCAGAAGCTATGTGTGACACGGAGCTTTTTCGTTGTGATCATAAAATACGGTGAATATTGCTGCCAAGTGCCATCCAGTGGAAAGGCAGGGATCTTCAATATGCGAAGTGGCACACCGAACCTTAGTAACTGTGTGACAAATTTCAACATGTTTGGTGCAGTCAGTTGGGTGTGAGCTACGGTTGAGAGAAAGTGTGTTTTAAAATGTTCAGTAAGTCATCCTTCATCATGGCAGCACTCCATGTCACACATCACTTCTGGTACGGCAATTTCTGTCAAATAAAAACATTACGGAGTGTCCTCATCCACCTTATTCACCGCATCTGGCACTGTGTGACTTCTGGCTCTTCCCCAAAGTCAAAATGACCACAAAAGGTAAACATTTTGAATGAATTCAGGACATTGAGGAAGCCACGACAGTACAACTAAAGACACTCATGAAAGAGGACTTCCAGAAATGTTTCAGAAAATGGCAAAAATGACAGTATAAGTGTGTTCAGCGTGAGAGAGGGTATTTTGAGGGGGATTAATGGCAATGTGTCTTTTACTGTAATCATTTTTTTTATGTAAACATTCATTGTATTGTTTGATTACACCTCATACATATATAACATGTAATGTTTACACTCACACATATAAAACTTTTCCTTTTGGACACAAATGTAACAAATATAATAGCACACTGTTTTACTCCCACTTTATTTACTTTACAGTTCATTTTGGGAGTGTTTCCATATCAGTTTGTAAGATCTGCATCATTAACAAAAGGAAAAAAAAAAGAAAACAAAAATTCCTGTAGAGTGTTCCACTATATAATTGTTAAATTTATCAAACTATATTCCACTATAGAATTACTATAATTTATTTAACTAGTCTCCATTTCATAGACATTTGGCTGATTTTTAAATCATTGTCTAAAATAGCCTCTTAAAGAATAGCCTTGTGACTGGGTGACTTTTGCCTTGATGTTATTTTATTAGCTTAATGGTTTCTAAATTGGCTTTTTACAATTTAAAACAAGTTTTCACTTGTTATTTAATTAAAAAAAAGTTTGCAGGTGTCCAGAACATTGAAATGTTTAAACTTGTGCAAAAAACAATAGGCTTATAAAAATCTGATTTTTTTTTTAAAGATTTTTAGTGGGGGCTTGGGGGGATGGGAACAGCGCTGGGGAATTGGGGGAAGGGGAACAGACAAGTTGCTGTCCTTTTTGTTCTTCAGTCTAGTTGTGGAGGACGTTGCTTCACTGGCCCAAGTTGGCACCATCATTGCACTCTTCCCGGGCGAGGCACATTAGTCGCTGGCTTCTGGACGGCCGCTCACTGCGGCTGCTGGCCACTTGTGCTGGCTGCTGGCTACATACAGTAGCCCATGGCAACTCACTGCCACAGAGGCTGCAGCCTACGCCATGGCCGGTGACTCACGGCAGCCCAGCTCCAGGTTGAGCTGTTGTTCAGCATCTTAGCTGTGGAGGGCAGTGTCACTGGCCTCATATGTGGGATCCGAACTGGGGTCCTCTGGCATCCCAAACCAATTAACCATTGTGCCACTAGGCCGGCCCAAAATCTGATTTCTTTTATTAAAATATTTCTAATTTTTATTTTTTGCTGATTTTGTAAGTTTTCATATTCATTACATCCTAATATTAAGTACCTATTTTCCCAAAATTATAATTTATGAAGCATTTAATTTCTTTATTTTTGAATTTTAGACCCAAGCTACTTCTGTATGGATTATTACTCTGAGATACAGTACACTGCACATTTGGTTAACTTCTTTCTATATAAACAAGTCACGAGTAATATAAATGAGTTTAGATTGGATCATATACAATGAGGGTCGAAGAGTGATGGTTGATGCAAGCAAGAGTGGTGATTAGTATTATTCTTGCTGCATGATGAATTACACTATATCGTGCACTAAAACAATGGATTGTCCTTCAGGATATCAAAGACTTTTTGGCAAACAACATAATGGGAAATATGTAGTCCTTTATCATTTTGCAAAAAGTGAGAGTTACAATAACAGTTTTGAGAATTCTTTTCAAGTCTCAAAGAACATCATGGTGCCAGTACTGATGAGGATGTATGCACCTTGTCCTTGGTAATGGGCACAGGGTATTTTATTGTTCTTTTACTCTGCAATACTGTTCTGTGATGATTCGTAAGCTGTTTTGATCTCTGGGTACTTTAGCTTAAAGTGGACCAGGAACTCTTCTACCCTTGGGGGTGTTAGTAGAATGCTAATGATTCTGTTTGATCTACCATGTTAAACGCAAATGAAATAAATCAGGAGAAATAGACATAGTGAGTATATCAAAGAGTTATTTTGACTTCTGGGCATAAGGCAGTTGCTAAGCAACCTGTGTCAGACTTCATGGTCATCTGTTAGGAAGGACACAAAGTCAATGCTCACTCAAGACATATAAGATCATAAGTGAAAAAAAAAACTGTTTTGTTGGATTCAAGAAAAAGCTGCTTGGATGAATGTATAATGGTTGTAGCATATGAAGCCTCTATTTGCAAAGGAGCAATGAAATTGACACAGAAAACACACACACACACACACACACACACACACACACACACACACAACAAAAACCCTACATTCAATCCAAGCAGGCTGGGAGGACAAAGAAAATAAATTAAATTTTGTATGAATTGTTCCCACTTCCCAGGATCTACCTTCAGAACACTGCGGTTATCTGTGGGATGTATAATAGCCTTAATAGGCTGTGCCGTGAAGCTTCCAACAATAGGGGGGTCCACAGTGCACCTTTGGAATTTGGAGTTTTATTGATAATAATAAAATCACTTACAATCTTCTTTCACATCATTCCTCAATAACACATTTTAAGGTATGAAGTCTGTAACTTAGAAAAGAGTTTTTTCAAAGAAGAGAGTTATGTGATAGGTTTCGGGCTGAGTTTAACAAAGCTATCGAGGTACAAAGTGTGAAGGAATTATGGTTTTTGCTTTGCAGAACCTATATATTCAGTATGTAAAAATGACTGATGCTTTTTCTTCCTTATTTTTTTTTCTGATATTAGACTATTGCTTGGCTGATCAAAGCATTTCATTGTGCTGTGTTCCATAGAGTCATGCTGAACTGCAAGGTCTTTATAGTACCATTTACGAGGCACTTGTCCTTAGACAAAGTTTTTTAATTCACCTGAGCCTTCAGTTTTTTAAATGTAAAACAGGGCTATAAATAGTCATCTCATGAAATTGTGAAAATCTAATGAAATAATATATATGCATATATCATTATATATGTTTTATGTTTTCATTTTGTGATAATAATTACTACATTACTGCTTAGACTACTAGGATATAGTATTCTAAGTAGGATTGTTGCATTTTATCTGCTAAAGGCATACATTTTTTAAATGGGAAAATGATTAAGTCTTGTTTTCTATTCATATTTTTTTCAGAAGTTAATTGTATTTAATTAGGATATAAGTAATTATTACATTGAAGTTTAAAAAATATTACACCTCTGTTTGAAGTCCATATGGCAGCCCGTTTTGTTTTTGTTTCTGCAATAAATGTGAAATACCTGAACTCTGTTTATTTTTCCCATAACATAATTATATCTTTAGCATATCAATGATACAAAAAACTCACTACCCATAAGTCTAACCTCTCTCACAGACTCATAGATTCTCCTTGGAATCAGAGGCCAGCCTTTTCTTTTTGGAGAAGAATGTTTGTGTTTAATTTTGGTAGTCTGTTAAAAGTCTGTTAACAGTTTTCACAATGATGAGTGCGGTGATACTATAAAGTCAGTTGGGATGGGCACTGTGATGATGAGGTGAAAGAGCCAGAACACATCCTTAAGGGAGTTACAGCTCATCTTTTCAGGACTAGCCAGGCCTAGGTGTTCTCTCTGTGGCGGCGGAACATTTGTTAATTGATTCAGTAACTATTTTTTTTTTTGTATGCCTACTGTGTCCTAGGCACTATGTTAGATGCTGGGAATAGAGTGGTGAACAAATCCGAAGTGTGCTCTGCCCTCCTGGACCAGTGGGGAAACAGTAAAGTGAAAGGTAAGTGCCCAGAAGAAAAGGAACAGAGTGTAGGGACAGAGGACGTTGCTGCTGGGTTGGGTGAATGAGTCTGAGTGGGTAGCCAGAAAACATCACCCAGCAGGTGTCATCAGACTGAAACCACTCAGAACAGAGCTCTCCTTCTGGACCGCAACGTTCATTGCGGGTAGCTGCATCACAGATGATGATGTACCTGCCAATGACCTTTCTTTGTCTCCGGGACTCGCGAGTTTGAATAATACCGCACGGTCTTCCATCTCCTTTCCCTTTATGACGGCATTCAGCTTTTATCTTTGTTTACTGAGACAGGTGTTTCATTTTACTGATAGATGCTGCATCATTCTTTAGCAAGCCAGTGCTTCTTTGATTTTATGATTGTTTTCTTTTGCACATTTTCATTTCAACCCGTGTTTTTTATTTTCATATAAATGATGAACTCTTGAAAAGTAATCTGTTGGTACAGATCAGGGAAGAGCTGTAATCCTCAAATTAGAGTGGAGTTGTTCCGTTTTGCAGGTTTCTTTTTCTGTATCTTGATTTCCAGTTTCTTTCTTTTTTTTTTTTTTTAAAGATTTTTTTTATTGGGGAATTGGGGGGATGGGAACAGCGCTGGGGAATTGGGGGAAGGGGAACAGACAAGTTGCTGTTGTTTTGTTCTTCAGTCTAGTTGTGGAGGACGTTGCTTCACTGGCCCAAGTTGGCACCATCATTGCGCTCTTCTCAGGCGAGGCAGATCAGTCGCCGGCTTCTGGACGGCCGCTCACTGCGGCTGCTGGCCGCTCACGCTGGCTGCTGGCCGCTCACGCTGGCTGCTGGCCACACACGGTAGCCCATGGCAACCCACTGCCACAGGGAGTGCAGCCTACGCCGTCGCCGGCGACTCATGGCAGCCCAGCTCCAGGTTGAGCTGTTGTTCAGCATCTTAGCTGTGGAGGGCAGTGTCACTGGCCCTCATATGTGGGATCCGAACCGGGGCCCTCTGGCATCCCAAGCCAGTTCTTAACCATCGCGCCACTCGGCCGGCCCTCCAGTTTCTTATAAACAATTGAACATTGTCTAAAAAGGGATTTAGAAGGTCGTTTATGTAGCACTAATTACCGTGTTTTCATAGAATTTTAACTCTTTCCAATTGTTGTTATATATATTTAGAGAGAAGTCTGGTCTAACAGCAGTAATAAAAGCATCCTTGTATTGGCAGGAGCGGGGTTTTCAATTTGGTCACTTTTCAACACACCTATGAGTTATAACCTTAGGAGCATATTAATCTACATAATTTAAATGTTAATAGACTAGTAATCATGTTTATACATTTATATTATTAAAGTCTAAAGTGCATAATTTCTATTTTAATATGAATCAGTGTCTATATGTCTATTTGGATGATAGGGAGTTTTCAAAATTCATAATTAGCATCAAACAACCGCTCGAAATGTATTATGAGAAAAGGCAAACAATTGTGAAACATAAAGCAGAATGCCATATTAGAACATCTATAACCCATGTTTTATTTGCATTATAGTAAGTGCATTGTAGGTGAATGGTTTCTAAAACTTACCGAGGAGGTATACAAATATGAATCAGTCAAGTACATAAAAGAACTGGTTAAAATTTATTTTTCCCTAAGGATTTTTTTATTGCCCACCTTTAATTAAAAAATAATGGAAAACTAAGCTGTTTTATAGTAAAGTTTTCTATTTGTAAATATTAGAAATAAGCATAATTAGAAAGCACAAAGTAAAGAGTTCAGTTATATTGAAGAATGAGAAAATCATTTTTCAGACGCTATATCCATTTTTATAAAGTTTTTTCAGACCATATATATTTTTTCTAAATCATACATCTACTCATATATTACCTTCATGAATACCTATATATCATTTTTCAGACTCTTGCGCTCTCTCTCTCTCTCTCTCTCTCTCTCTCTCTCTCTCTATATATATATATATATAGATAGATAGATAGATAGATAGATAGATAGATAGATATAGATATATATAGATATATGCCATACCCATAAATACATTGATACAGACATTTGGGAACAAACATGAAAAGAATTTCATTTAACTTATAGAATGGTGTTTTGAAGAATTTTTTAAACACAGGAGACATTTTTGTGGTTCAACTGACATTTTTGCTATGGTGATTAAGACTTGGACTTATAACAATAATTTAATTACATTTGATTAAAGTGCTATGTTTATCTTGACTAATAGGATCATGAAATACTGATGTGTTCAACCTGACCTGCTCAGTGACGCAAATCAATTGCTCCAGCTGTATTTCTTTGTAGTCATTTTACCAATGGCCTATTGAAGTGCCCCCATTTTTTAGGAATAGATTCAGCTTTACTCAAATGACTCACTGTGCCCCTGCTTAATGAATTCATTAAAAAAATAATAATTCTGTGCTATTTTAGAGAATATTTAGACTGAGGACAAAGTCGTTCCCATCGTGGCTTGGTCCTCATTCCTGTGTAAGGGCACATCAATTCTATCAAATTTAGTACATTCAGGGAGTGCATGGGAGAAGATATGACCTGGAGAACTGCTCTCTTTTGGTCATAATTCTGCTGGGTCTGAATTTTGGAATCCTGGTCTGTAAAATCAGGCTCTTAAGTCCAGAGTGGAAAAACCATAAAGAATATTTGCTTTCCCCCATCTAATCTCCCCAGCTTCAAACTAATTAAAAATACCAGACTGCTATATGCTACTTCATCCTTGAAGTCAAAGTAAGATTTAATAGTGCATCATTAATCAGCTGTTTGTTTAGATATTTATTTCTTAGTATGCATTTCCATGCCTCCTCTCTCAACTCATGGAGGAAGTATCTATGTATATATTTGACTAGTAAAGAATTTTCTATCCTTATATGCATTTTCCCACCTTATGGCAGTTGTTAGCAACTACAGTCCACACACCTTGAGTTGACTAGTTGAGAGGGTTCTTGGGTAAATGAGTATTTAATCACTTGTCACACCCTTTTTACTGTCATGGGAACCAATAAGATTAGGGGGAGTTGTGGGGGATTTAGCTTTACTGCAGTTGCCAGTTAGATTCATGGAAAGTTTAGTAATAAATATTACTGAAAAAAATTTAGATATTTAAAAAAACCTCCGCAAAAAGAGCAGGGAGTGATAATGGAGATATATTTGATTAACAAAATATAAGCTAATATACGAGGTATGACAATTAAGTTCATGAACTTTATTGCAAGGTTGTTGCTAACCTTTTTTGATATCACAGGGATTATTCATTATGAATTTGTACCAACTGGACAAACAGTTAACCACGCTTACTATTTGGAAGTGCTGAAAAGGCTGCATGAAAAAGTTAGACGACCTGAACTTTTTGCCAACAATTCATGTCTCTTGCATCACAACAATGCACCAGTTCACACTGCACTGTCTGTGAAGGAGTTTTTAGCCAGTAAGCAAATAACTGTGTTGTAACACCCTCCCTACTCGCCTAATCTGGTCCCCAATGACTTCTTTCTTTACCCAAAGATAAAAGAAATATTGAAAGGAAGACTTTTTATGACATTCACGACACCAAGGGTAATATGACAACAGCTCTGATGGCCATTCCAGAAAGAGTTCCAAAATTGCTTTGAAGGGTGGACTAGGCGCTGGCGTCGGTGCATAGCATCCCAAGGGGAGTACTTCGAAGGTGACTGTAGTGATATTCAACAGTGATGTATGTAGCACTTTTTTTAGGATGAGTTCACAAACTTAAATGCCTGATCTTATATTACTAAACTGTTACTGTATTCTTCCATAGGTTATGAATATATAGGCAAATATAAATGTTGGTTTTCTCCTTCAAAGGAATCATGTTATAACATTGTTGTATGCATTATGAATTTTAAATATTTTTATGTTTTTTTAAATAACAGCGTGCATATATTTCAATACTGAATTAATTTTTGATTGCTAACAGAATAATTCCCTATGGTTGAAAATGCAAAAAAAAAAGCCTAAAATTTATTTTTTATGTATAAATATATAATTATAATTGTGCATATAATTTTTAAGTGCTTAGTGATTTGGTAGACATATTAACAGCTATAAACCTTCATTTTTCTTCCCAAGAAGATTATGATTTAACTCTGGAAAGGAGGCACACATGCCTTTAAAAAGCTATCACTCATGGCAATACATATAACTTTCAAATGTACAATAGAAGACCTAATTACGTCTGTGGAACTCATTCTTGTCATTTGACACCAAACTTTTTTTCATAGAAAAATTACTTTATTATTTTTGTATTAAAGGATTTAAGTAATTCAAAAATTACAGAAAAGAAAGCAATAAAAGTGATTTCCAATCTCAGTATCTCTAAGCAATCATATTAAGTGGACATTATTCCATTACCTTCCTATGTATGTATGCAAATAGAGGTGGGAAAGAAAGATTTGGAATATTTTTCATGAAACAGTGTCATATTGTATGTGGTGTTTTAAGAACAAATATACATTAAATTTGTTTTTATTTGAATTTAGAGGTAGCAAATGAAAACGAGAGGAAGTGAAAGGAATTGCTGAAGTTCAAATGTTTTGAAATATTATTTCTTAAAAGATCCTTTTAAGATCAAATGAAATGATTGTGGAAATCACTAAGAGTTTGGAGCCTTTTTGAAAATTACATCTTCCATTTTAGATGGTATTGATTGATTCTGGGCAATGAGGCACTAGTGCTCTCTTGTTTTCTTTTACTTCTCTTTAATCTCTTGGTATTTGTTAGTAACATTATTTTCATACTGTCAAGGTTTATAGCATTTACGTCCTATTCTGTGATCTACACAGCTTTCTTTGTACTCTACTTAAATGGAGAGAATACTCATCACTGGTCAATTTTACATTGTTTCACCATTCCTGAGTTTATTTTCATTCATCGTATAACAGTTGTTTTACATTTTGATACGTTTCTTAAAAGCAGTGTTTAAAGAAAGCCTCATGGGTTTTGTGGTCCTCAAGTTCTTTTATGTTTTACATAA